AGGATGGGTAGAGGGAAAGAAAGAAAATGAAGGAAGGAAGGAAGGAGAATAGAGGAAGGAAGGAAATTGGAAAGAGGGAAGGAAAATGAAGAAAGAAAGGGAAGGAAGGAAGGAAAAATGGAAATGGGAGGAAGGAGAATCGGAGGAGGGATGGACAGAAGAAAAATAGAGGAAGTATGGAAGGAAAAGAAACAGGAAGGAAGGAAAATGAAGGAAGAATACAGTTGGAAGGAAGAAGGATGGAAGGAAGAGAAAGGAAGGAGAAGGAAGGAAAATAAGGAAGGAAGGAGCTTCTTTTATTTTTCAGGAGACTCCCATCCCCTGAGCTTGGCTGGGCAGATTTAAGGGGAGGGGAGGGTGCTTTGAAGCCTATGTAGGCATCCCCATGACCCTTCTGCAACTCTTCAAAGCAGCCGCATCTGTTCCTGGGATCGTACAGCCGCCTTCCACGGCTGCGCTGCAATCCCAAGGAAACGCACCTTGGCTCCTGAAGCATCGTCCTGAGCTGGCGGAGAGCGAAAAGCTGCCAATGGAAAAGAAAGTCCCCCCCCCCCAAAAAAAACCCTTCACCTCTGGGCGTGTAGGGATGTGTTGGGCCACCCACCGGGCTCCCTTTGTTCCCAAGTGGAAAGAAGGGATTAAACCCGTCTTAACAAAATGTTCCACAGCAGTTCCTCCCCGTACTTAGTTGTACATACATTGAAGGCAGGAGGTTCGATCACGGCTTGTCAATCTGCTTGCTTGAAAACGCGTCTACAAAGAGAGGAAGTTCTGGAGGATGGAAAAGCCCTCAATGGGAGCTGGCTAGTTTTGCTAATACAGAAGAAGAAGCTGTGTGGGGGTGTTGATGCCATGCTGGGCACAGGGTGGCATTCCTTATTTGCAACATGGACCTTTTTTAATGCTGTAGCCCTTTCTCCCTCTCTCCCTCCCTCCTTTTCCTTTTCTTCCTTCCTTTTTCCTTCCTATTTTTCTTCCTTCCATCCTCCTCCCTATTCTCCTTCCTTCCACCTCATTTTTCCTTCTTTCTTCATTTTCCTTCCTTTTACCCATCCTTTGCTCGTTCATTTGTTCTAACTTTCTTCTTCCTCCCTCCCTCCCTGACCTTCCTTTCCTTCTGCCTCTCTGTCCTCTCTCTTTTCCTCCCGCCTTCCATGTTTTTCCTTCCTTCCTCCTTCCTATGCCCTTTCCCTCCCTCCCTCCTTTCCTACCTATTTTTCTTCCTTCCAGCCACCTCCTCTCTATTCTCCTTCCATCCTCATTATTTTCCTTCCTTTCCTCTACCCATCCTTTGTTCGTTCATTTGTTCCAACTTCTTTCCTCCTCCCTCCTTCTTTCCTCCCTCCATCTTTCCCTCCCTGACCTTCCTTCCTTTCCTCCTTCTCCCTCCATGCCCTTCCTCCTGTCCTCCATGTTTTTCCTTTCCTTCCTTCCTCCTATACCATATGCCCTTCCTCCCTCCCCCTCCCATTAACTTCATTTCTGTCCTCCTTCTCTCCCCCCCGATTCTCCTCTCTCTCCCTTCCTCCTACCCACACGTTTTCCTTTCTTTCCTTTATCCCTCTACACCCTTCCTTCCTTCCTCCCTGTCTTCCTCCCTCCCTTGTTTCCATCCTCCTCCTTCCCTTCTCCTATTCCCTTACTTGTAGCATTCCACGGACACCTGACCACAATTTACAATCATTTTTTTTTAACTTGGAAACCAATGTTTACTTCCAGTTTCTGGCAAAAAAAAAATAAACAGTGGCTTTGCTTAACAACGATTGCGTTCGCCTAACAACTGCTGCACTCACTTTTTTAAAAAATTGTTAGAGCTTTGCGTTTCAACTTAAAAAAATAAAACGGAAAGTTTAAAAAAACAAATAAGGGCGGGATACAAATCTATGACTTAATCAATTAAGTACTGACGCCTGATGGATATGCTAATGGCAAGAATTAATCATCTCTTTTTCTGCTTCTGTTCCTTATTATCTGCTCTTCCTCCCCAGGTTCACCTTTCTCCACAGAGCAAAATAAATTTACAGACTCCAGCCCCCTGGGTTCCCCCGCTGACGGCAGGAGGAAGAGAGCGAACGGTCAGTTCTCTGCTGGCAGCATAGAAAGTTACTTCACTAAAATGCCAGATTCAATACCAGCAGGAAGGAAGAATTACGTCTTCAAGGCTACTGGCCAAACTGAAAGAGCAGTAGAGAAAGACGGCCCCTCTGTTCCTTATGGACCCCAGGAAAATAATTTGTGGGTCCAAAAAGACCAACCAATAAGACAGTTGCCAGATGGCAAAATGATCAATGGTTCTCCAAGAACCTTGATGACTGAGAAATGTCCCCATGAAAGGCAGCACACCGGACATAAAGATGTGGAGAAAGTGGTGTCTTCTCCAAGGAGAACAAATGTGGAACTGTCCAAGTCAGACCCAGGCATCGAAACTGATGCTGGAAATGACAGACTCTGTTTTACACCTGAACTGTATGATGATGATGATGAAGAAGAGGTGGTGGAAGAGAAGAACGAAGGCTCGATTTCCAATTACAATAGTACTTTGACGTCCTCTGAAACCGCAAACACCCCCGTTCTGGTGGAAGAACTTTGTCCATCCAGCGCTCAAAAACTAGGAGATGCCACCTCCAGGTTTAAAGTTGAAGCAGGAGTGGGCGCAGAGCGGTCGGGGATCACGGAGAACAGCCGGAATAACAGAAGCGCTGTTGAGGAAGCTGGGAATAAGGTTGGCATTGAGGAAACTGAGCCAGAGGCGAAGGGAAAGGAAAACCAGCTTCCTGGATCTCAAAGCAAAGGTGTGTCTTACAATCCGTTCACTTAACCAGTAAAAAAAATCAGGCCTGAGGAAAAATAGGGTTACTGTTTCTAGTTAAGGTCAGGAATGGGCTCAGAGAACCCGTGTTTTGGGAAAACTGGAGGGACGCTCATACTTCAGGGACACCCGCCTTCACGGAAAAAGTTGGCTCAGAATGGAGATGGACCAACTCTGTCCCCAAAATGCTCCACCTCTCCTCCCGTTCACTTCTGCAACATTCCAGAAGATAGGAAGACGTGATGTGCCCTCAAATCATGTTCCTGTCTCTACAAGTGTTGACGAATGAAAGAGAGCGTCCACTGAGAGGACAGGTGTTCCCAACCAATGACGGATTGGACATTCTTAGAACAGAACCTGGCAGAGAAAACAGGAGGAGATGTAGGAGAAAGGCAGGCAGAGATGGGGCAGACTTAAGAGAGAAATTAGCCCAGGGGTCGGCAACCTTAAAACACTCAAAGAGCCACAACGATCCTAACTGGAAGCACCCTGTTCAATTATGGAGCTGACCGGAAGTCCTGTTCCCCCACCATAGAGTCTCCTCCTAGCACAGCATCCTTTTTCCTCTACCTGCCCTAACCGAAAGCCCTATCAATTGTGGAGCCGACCAGTGACAGGGAGCCACAGCAGAGGGATAAAGGAGCCACATGCAGCTCCAGAGCCATGGGTTGCTGACCCTTGAAGTACCCTGGAAGCCATTTGTGGGAACGTAAGGACTCCAGGCTGATTTCTCTCTTGACTCTGCTCCCTGTGTCTGCCTGTCCTCCTAAAAGAGGCCGAACCATTCCTTTCAGCAATATATCCAACCTATGGTGGACAACAACTGGTGCAGTCTTAGAAGAACTTTACAGGTGTTTAAAAAGACAGAAGAAATCACTTGAGTCCTGGTTTCCTCTGCTGCAAACCGATCGTCCCATCCTTGTTTTATTATTATGTCTCACCAGCCTATTTGTGGAAGGAATCAGTTTTACGTAAAGTCAGTGAGATTATTTCCAAGTAAATGTAACAGGTCCTATTTCACTCACTCCTTTTGGGGGACGGGTAAGGAGAACATTGTCGGGTTATATGAGTGTAGTTTGTTCAACATAACACAATGCCTGCAAAGAGATCCATTGTGGAGTTAGTTTAGTAGCTACCAGCTTAGAGAGAGTAATCAAAATCACCTTGGTTGGCTGAAATTTTGGAGACTATGTTCCCATTCCCAATCCTTTGGCCTTTTTTAACGATCATGTGAACTTCACAGTGGGCCTATCATGAGCTGAGAAATGTAAATCAAACCAAGTAGCTTTTTTACAACTAATACGCAAACAATTCTGCACTTTTATGTACCACCATTCACCATCAAAATGGGCAAGGCCGAATATTACAGCATAAGCCTGTAGAAATAATTAAATACCATTTCATCAGCCTATCACCAACATATTTTTATTATGAAGATATCTGTAGGCATTATTTTGCTAGGAAAATATACAGCATGAATCAGTGCTATGGTTCTTCACCAGGACTTTATTGTTTTATGCATAGCGATTTGATTTGTGTCAAATATAAATGCATCCTTAAATATTTTTGGGAGCCAAATCAGGTCTCGGACACTGAAGCACATTTAATTAAAGTTGTAAGTCTGAGAGCTTTTAAGTGAGGGCCAAATTTTCTGTCACATCAAGACTGATGAGACCATTAGAAATTAATCTTAAAATGAGTAATGCCACCCCATATCCATTAGTTCGCCAGTAATGTCCATCATGTCATATATTTCTTTTAAAAAGAATAGTTTGTAAAGAACGTATCATACAAACCTATCATCCATTAGTCGCAATTTTATAACAGCTTATTAATTGATAAAATTTTTCCACAAAATGTTAGGCGTCTTTTTTCTTTCTTTCTCCCAAACTGGGTTAGATGTCTTCCTTTTTTCTCAAACTTTGGAACAAACGTTTTTCTTCTTAATCCTTGTCAAATAAATTATCGTGGCGTGTTAGATATTGACCCACAGGTTTCATCATTTTTCATTTGCCTCTTTGTGAAACAAATTACAACAATTGAGTCATTGAAGGAAGACTTCTCAAGCTTTACAGCAGGGGTGGGGAACAATGGCTCTTTTATAACTTGTGGACTTCAACTCCCAGAATTCCTGAGCCAGCCCTCAGAAATGGTGGCTCAGGAATTCTGGGAGTTGAAATCCACAAGTCACAAAGGGACTATTTGTTCCCCACCTCTGCGTTAGAAAGAACAAAGTCGTCTTAAATAATATGTTGTCATTTGAATATAAGCAAGAGAGGGTTTGGGGATTGTGATAACTAGGAGGAAAAAAATTAATTAAATCCTGAATCTATTGAAGGGCTGAAAGTACAGAGAAGGTATAAACGAAGAGCCAGGAAGCCATCTAATAACAGAGAGGCACACCAGCAACAGGTAACCTTAAAGAATGTGTAGATCGAAAAGTATGAGTGGAAATGTTGGTTACTCAGTGAGGTCCATGCTGTATGAAACCTTACCCATTAAATAAAGTGTTTCCCTGAAAATAAGACCCTGTTTTATATTTTTTTGCCACCACAAAAGGCACCAGGTCTTTTTTCCGGGGAATGTCATTCACTGACTAACCTCACTTGCGCATGTCACCCCCAGCCTCCTTTTCACGGTCAGAGGCCTTCAGGAACATCATCTGTGGCTGGCAAGATTTTCCTGAAGGCCTTTGCAGCCGTTAACAGAGCTCCAGACTGATCTGGAGCTTTGTTATCAGCTACAGAGGCCTTCAGGAAAGCCTTGCCGGCTACAGAAGAAATGAGCTGGCAAGGCAGGTGTCGGGGTGTGCAAGGCCTGACTACAACTGTCCAAAGGTAAGTAGTAGGGCAGCTCCCCCACCTCCCATCCCCACACTAGCTCAATTTTTACCCGTGCACTCTGGAGTGGGCAGGGTCTTAATTAGGGCTTATTTGGGGGTAGGGCTTATTTGGGGGTACACATGTAAAAATCAACCTCAAACTTACTTTCAAGGTAGGTCGTATTTTCAGGAGAAACAGAGTAGATAATGTGTGATATTAATTACAAGACCCCTTCGTTCATGAGTTTCAAGATTGAATGTTGGCTAGACACAAATTCCTTCTGCATTGTTCAAGACCAAATAGAGGAAGTCACGGAGATGGGATGGTGTGAACTTGGTAAGAGCCATCATGCAAGTTCTTCTCATGTGACTTACTTCCAGGTAACCAAAGGAGGAATTAGATTCTGGGAACGCTGACATCCCCAAGGTGACATCTTGACAAGAAACGGAGTCTTTCAGTCATGCTGATTTGTGAAATGTGGACAATATCCCAGTAATATTTAAGTGTTGGAAACAAGTTTTTCTTTTTTCAACAACAGCGTACAGCAAGGAAGGGGAACCTGCCATTGCTACACCCATTAGTGATTACTTCCCTCTGGATTCTTTCATTGTAGAACAGTCATTTATTCCTGGTTCCAAAATGGTGCCCTTGCAACGCAGGGAAGAATTTCCTCATTGGCTTTTCCTGCAAGGATTGAAGTTGTCACCTTATACTGTATTTCCCTCCAAAATAAGTCCGAGTCTTATATTAAATTTTCCTCCAAGACACACTAGGGCTTATTTTCTGGTTAGGTCTTATTTTCAGGGAAATGCAGTCCTAAATGCATCTGGCTGATAATCATAACGGACTTATTTTTGGCGTAGGGCTTATATTACAAGCATCCTGAAAAATCATGCTAAGGCTTATTTTCTAGTAGGGTCTTATTTCCAGGAAAACAGGTAGAAGTGAGCAGAGAATGGCATGGGAGGACATAAGTAAAGGCAAGAACTCGGATTCTTCCTGGATTTCACCCCCATTCTCAAAGTTTGACCCACGTTCATTGTGAAGCAACCTGGGATCTATAGCTTCCTAAGGACATCCACACAGATGTCCAACCTTGACAACTTTTTAAGATTTGTGTGGCCTTCAACTCCCAGAATTCCATTCTGGCTGGGGAATTCTGGGAGTTAAGTCCACAAGTCTTAAAAGTTTCCAGGATTGGATACTCCTTGGTTTAAAAAAATCAGTATGGTAAATGGAACTGAGTAAGTGACGTCTCCCGGCTTTTTTTTAATGAGTGTCACTCGCCTAAAAAAAGGAACAAGACCAAACAGAGCCACCACTGTGATTTTTGACCCCTGTGTGGTCATTCTTGCTTTCACCCACAGGTCTTCAGGATGGACCTTCTGCTTTGTTGAGAAGGCTACCTGCTTCTTAACATTTTTGAAAGCCTTTAACGTGCAGATGTTTGACTTAGATTGTAATTGTTTATAATTTTGTATGCGTATATGCACCTCTGTATTTTATCTTGGTTGATGTTTTTACTGTAAAGATCTATGTGACTTTGGAAATTGGTGGAATAAAAAGTCTGCAATTTTTAAAAAACGAAATCTTGTTAGTTTTCCACAAAAGTCTACTCATAAAGAATATAGCCAAGTATTGTTGCTTATTGAATGATAAAAATTCAACAATTCCATTGATTGATTGATATAATATATCAAGGAGAGAAGCAACCTAGAACTAAGGAGGAATTTCCTGACAGTGATAACAATGGATCAGTGGGACCACTTGCCTCCAGAAGTTGTGAATGCTCCAACACTGGAAGTTTAAAAGAAGAGATTGGATAACCCTTTGTCTGAAGTGGTGTAGGGTTTCCTGCCTAAGCAGGGGGTTGGACTAGAAGACCTCCAGGGTTCCTTTCCAGCTCTGTTATTCTATTCCAGTATTCAAAGGCATTTCAATAACTTCACAACGCCCCACAGAACAAACTTTCACGGAAGTGGACTGGAGTTTGTTCTCAAAATTGCAGCCCACCTATGCAGTGAACTGCTTCCGAAATGGAATGATGGCTGCCCCAAATCAGTTTATAATATTACAGCAAAAGGAGATTACGCTTAAAGCTCTTACTAGCTACTTTAGGCTGGTTATGTTCTTACCGGCTGCGATTTTCAGCTCTGCGGAGAATAGAAGTCAAATCCTATTTTCTAAATCTGGACCATAAACAAATGACAAACTATCCCAAGCCTTCGTGGGTCTAAAAATACAGACATAACTGTTATTTTAGGAGAGAGAATTCATTATATCACTCCGTCCTCGTTGATCACGCTTGCGATAAACCACGGATTGAATCAGAAATAAATTAGGCTTTGTTCTCGAAAGCACAAACAGTAATTGGGTTTGGTGTTTTCCTGCTGGTAATCTAAACACCTGTAAAATATATGAATT